AGGCTGGGTTTCTTTGTGTGCTTCCTGGTCCTGTGCTGTTGTGACCACGTCCCCATCCCGGTCTACGGCTCTCTCTGTAGGTCTAGGGTTCTATGTCATTAACATCTACAGCTATGTTGGGGGCTCGCCCAGGAGTGAGTGCCTGTTCCAGGCCCCTGACATATCCCAATGGGCGGGATGGACCTGTTGCCCGTCTGCCTGCAGCCCACACTAGTTGGGAGAGACCTAAGCAGGCAGGACCAGCTGCAGGAAGCTCACCGAGGGCAGTCTGGGGCTGGAGCCTGTTCCCTGGGCCTCTCACCCACCTTTCCTGTGGCAGCCCAGAGGCAGTCACCCGGGCTCCACGGCGCGCGTTTGAATATCGTCACTCAGTCTGTCGTTGGCTTTTATCTACTCGACCAGCTCTTCTTACAAAATTGCAACCTGAGTGTTTCTTGATTGCTTTAAAAAAATCACCAATGCCATGTATTTTATTTTTTAGAGCTTTCTTACATAGGTTTATTTCTGTGGATTTCTTAGCAAGAGCTCTCCGGAAAGCTGGGTCTTAGTGTCATATCAGCTGATGCATGAGCCGCTGCTACCTCTAGGGGAGTGCTCCTCCGTGGTGAGCACTATGGCCAGTAGAGGGTCACAGGCACGTCAAAGCACCCGGAGCCTGGGGGCTCGTGACTTAACCGCCCTGTGCCTCCGTCTCCCTGTCTACAAGGCGAGGATGACCAGGACAGCAATATCTGCTCTCCATCTGCTGTGAGGTCCCAGTGAGGGAGACTGGGGCAGCGGCTGGCGCATGGCGATCAAGTCCAAGCCAGTTGGTGCCCACGTTCCCTTTCTGCCTTGGGGGCCGAGGTGCTGCTCTGGATGCAGGATGTTCTGAGCTCGGCTTGGGTTTCCCATTAACGCGCCTTTGATCTCAGTTCACCCGTTTCCGCAGAGTGTGCGGCTCCGGCTCGCAGGGGCACCTTGTGTGGGTGCGTTCCTGGGCTCTTTGATGAGGAGTGCAGGGAGCACACTTGGTCTGGGCATGACAGCTTAATGACTTTCCACAATAACTTCTCATATCAAAAATTATTTCCCTGAAGCCCGGGAGCTGAAACAATATATTTTTGCTAGGAAATAAACAAACTTGGAAGAAGGAAATGAGAATTTTCTCTGCTGCTTGCAACAATTTGCCTTTAAAAATTTCATAACATGTGCTTTCATTAAATAAAAATATCCACCCTTCCTTTCCTTTTTATCTTGTGTTTTGTTCCACTTGGCTTCCCTAAGAGATTTGAAAATGAACTGATGTGGAAGATAAACCCAGAAAAACTCAATGCAGTTTGTAGCTTCATCTTCAGCGATGTTGTTAGACCTTCAGCGAAATTCTAGTTAAAGCACCAGGTACTTGGAGGCCGTACAAGCCTGGAGTTGTTTCCTTGACAAATCATTTTTCCCTGAATGTGTGATCTTGAGAGCCGAAGCATGCTAGTAAAATTAAAAAGAAGGATTTCTAGCTAAAAGTCATCACAAGTAAAATATGAATGTGAAAGTTAGTCTGTGGGCCAGGAGGGCGTTCATAGGTGGTTTGCTGTGTCTCTGCTGGAGGCTGGGGTCACGGTGTCCTCATCTGAACAAAGGAAGCAGGATAGGTGCTGGACAGTAGGGCGAGCTGGGGCTGGTTCACCTGGAGGATGTCCCCAGGCACAGAGGGTGTGCGGACACTGCATGGCCTGGGGAGGGCCAGGGGGCTCCAGGGGAAGGGAAGGAGCCCCAGCCTGGCAGTGACAGGAGGACGGGGACCTGCCTTAGAGAGGTGGTGCAGGCTGTGCTTCGGAGACTGAGTAGGTCACGGGCACAGGGGTGATGTTGCTGGGGAGATTGGGACTTAGATGGGTACAGAGGGCGAACTGTGGGTGAGTAGGGAGGTGTTCCTGGGACCACATGAGTTTTCTATGAACTGTTTGATGAAGCACTTGGAGCAGAAGCCGGAGAGGCAAGAGACGCAGGAGAGCTTGGTTTTAAGGATCCAGGCGTCAGAGTCACTGCCTGAATTTGCATACTGGCCCAGTGTCCTTCCAGCAGCTGTGTGATCCTGGTGAGGTTACATTACCTCTCTGAGCATTAGTGTCCTCATGTGTAGAAAGGGACAATGATAGCGGGATTATGGCAAGGACTGAGTTAATGTGTGTGGCGGGCTCAGCACGGGGCTCAGCCCAGGTCTGGCACCGAGTGAGAGGCAGAGCATGGACTCTAACACGTACAGTGGCGGAAAACACCAAGTTGCTCATGAGTTTTTCTAGGAATAATGTCAAATTTCTTCTGCATCCTTACGCATCCACCCCTGAGGGAGGCCGGCACAGTGGTTCCCAGTGGTGTGGTGCTCGGCCAGGGCTGCCCAGGCCCCAGCACACTGTTCACCCTCCAGGGAGAAGCTGGAGGACTTGCTGGGGAGCTCTGGCCACTGTACTGCTCATGGCTCCTGTGAGCTCCTATGCTCATGTGACACCAGGATATGATGCAGGGCTGTGTGAGCAGGGCCATGTAGGATGGGCTGCATGCCCCTTGCACAGCTAGGGTGGCTCTGTTCAGGTCCTCTCCCAAGGACTGCAGGAAAGGGAAGTAGCCAGCCCCCTGCCCATTTCCCTCCTGACCACACTCTTTAGAGACCTGCTATGTCACTGTGAGCTTCCTGACACTGATTAGTGTCGAGTCCAACACGTAGGGACACCAGGGGTGTCAATAAACCTAACGCTACTTACCCTTGTGGGGAGCCCGGCAGCCCAGAGTGGTTCAGTGGAATGCCTGGGGTCCAGCGCACACACGAAGCATTTTCTTACCAGAGGATAGTGCACGCACAATTCTAGGAAGCAGCATGGTGTCAGCCAGAGGGACAGCCTCCAGTCTTCAGAGCTGTCTGGCTTGCCATTCCCCACTCCCACTGGAGGTGTAAATGAGAACAGGACTTGGTTCTGCCGACTCCCAGCGCCTCCAAGCCCTAGGCAGACGCGGACACTGCGTGCTCTGCTCACACCCTCGTCGGCCTGTGATCTGAGGCCATGTAAGGATTCTGTGACAGGTTTGCATAAACTTAAGATGTTTTCAGTTATTTTAAAGTCGTGCTGTTTACCACTCGTGGAGGGATGGTCGGGCAAGATGGCAGCCTCCAGGTGGGTTGGGAAGAGCTTGTGGTTAGGTGGGGCAGATGTGGTGAGGAAGGACGTCCTGTTGCCTCATGCGAGTGGGCTGATGGGGGAGGAGGGCCCTCTGGCAGCTACACTGAGCCTACCCACCCACACAGCTCATCGCACACAGCATCACGGGGGTTCTGGTCAGGAATGGGGTGCTGGCTCCCTTGGCACAGTGATCCCTTGGCCACCCCAGTGGTTTCCTTTCCTCTGTAGTCCCAGGTGCTCGGGGGTCCCATCCCTGGGAAGGACACTTTTTGATTTAGCTTATACACATGCTCCTTGACTTACACTGGGGCTCCTCCCTGCAAACCGTCGTAAGTGGGAAATATCATTATGTCAAAAGTGCGCCAAGTCGACCTGCTCCGTGGCCAGCCCTGACTGTGCTCAGAGCCTTTGCCTTGGGCCACACTGGGCAGGTCACTTAGCACAAAGCCTCGTTGCAGAAAGTCCTGCTCACTCATGTGGTGTCTTAAACACTGTCCTGGAGGTGGTCACATGGGTGCTTGCGTCCTTCCCAACCTAGAGAATCCAAGTGGAGCCCTGGTGAGCCTGCACGCCTGTGCAGTGTTGTCTCAGTAGTGTGGCCTGACACACTCATGCTTGCTGTTCTCAGAAGGGCTTGGATGAGCAGCGGTGGGCTCTGCGCTCTTCAGAGGTAGGTGCAGGTCCGAACAGGGACAGCATTGTAAGGCCGAGTGCTCAGTAACCCTGGCCACAGCTGGTGCTCTCGTGTCACAGATGAGGAAACAGAGGTTCAGAGAAGCTCGTGAACAATGCCTCTGCATGCTTATGCAGTGCTGAAAGCCCAGGTCCTGCCTTCAAGGAGTGAAAGTTATGGGGATAGTGTATCAGCTTGAAAATACTGCCACTCGTTTTGGCCTTGATTTAACAAACATATCAGTCTCCAGGGACATGCTGGGACAAGCACAGCTGTCCCAAAGGACATCTTCCAGACAGATGGAAAAAGGAATTAAACCCAAACTGGAGGATATTAGGTTGTGACTAATTGCAAAGTTTGCACTTGGCTTTTTAAGTTTTCCAGATGGCATTTACATGCCATAAAGCACGACCATTTTAGAGCGTGCAGTCCGGTGGCTTCTAGTATATCCACACAGCTGTGCACCCTATCCCCATTCCAGGTTGTTTTCTCCACCCCAAGAGGACGTTCTGTGTCCACTAACTAGTCACCTTCTCTTCCCTCCCCTGACTTGGTGCCTCGGCACCCCCTGGTTACCAGCCTGCTCCCCGCCTCTGCAGATGCGCTTGCGCAGGGCGTCTCACACAGTGGGCCCACACCCTGGGGGCCTTTCCCGTCTGGCTAGTGTATGTTTCCAGGCTTCCCTGGCCACAGCCCAGACCAGCCGTCCCTTCTGACTGGCACTCCCTTGTGCAGGTAAACACGTGGTGATCATTCATTCCTCAGTGGATGGACATGTCCTTGCCTTTAAGACTGTATTTCCAGAGGGCTCCCGGACCCCCTGGATGCCCTGCCCTAGGCCTGCTCAGGGTGTCCTCTTTCTGCAGAAGTTGAGGACAGTCTTCACGTGCACCGGTAGCAAACAGCCTCACTGCAGGGCTTGGGGTGCCACTGCTGCTCCTCCCAGGACCTCAGGTCACCCGGGGGCTCCCATGCCTGCCCAGGGGTCTGCCTCCTGCAGGAGATGCCCCCCTCCTCTCCTGGGGTCCCTTCTGCCACTGTTTTTACTGCTTCATCGCCAGACTCAGGACATAGTTTCCTTTATTGTTTTCCTTTCAGGATAGTGGAGTCTGGCTGTGTTGCCACCACCTGATTCTCTGGGACCGGCACTCATTGGTCTGGCTCTCTCTTTTTAGGTTGACCCCGTGTTCACCAGGGAAGTGAAAGCCAGGGTGAAGAGGTAAGGGAGGGGAAGAGACGCTTTGCATGAGGGGCCCAAGTGGCCAGTGAAAGGCACAGTTCTCTCCCCCGCAGTCCCAGGAGCTGCGCCAAGCACCTTGCTGCTGTCACGCCTTTTAATCCTCCCACGATCCTATGAGATCCTGTTTTTGGCCCCCTTGTCCAGGCAAGGAAACTGATAGGTCAAGAACCTAAGACGTTCATCTTACTTATCTTCAGGGAATGGCCAGGGAGACCCCTTGAGAATCACATTGGCAAAACTTGAAAAGAGTTTGGAGGAATGCAGGGAAACTGCCCCGTCTCACGCCCGGAGGATGAGGTGGCAACTGCTCCGGCCTCCTGGAGAGCGGATGTCCAAGTGCCTCTTAGACATTGCACTTGTCTGCCAGGGACGAGACCCGGCTCCCTGGGCTCAGCAAGCTGAGGCTTAGAGGCTCACCAAGACAACCTGACAGTGGCTGGTCGGAGAATGAAGTGGGGACCTGGCTGAGACCTCAGGGCCTTTGCTCTCCTGTCTCTGTGCTGACAGTGTGGCTGAGGCTCCCACCTCTCAGGTGACCAGGTGGCCACAGGACTGCACCCTCTGTGTCCTGCAGTTCAGTGGGAAGGCAGAAAAGGGCAAAGGCCAGAGGGACCTGTCTCCTGGTTATGTCACCCCCTGTGGCGGGATTTCCCTCCAGCCCCAGAGCCCCAGCCTCTCTCCCTGGCCTCCCTGGCCCCCCGACAGCAAAGAGGTCCGCGGTGCTGCTCCTCATCCCCAGCAGAGCAGGGACGTGTCTGCCTCTCATGAGGCAGATGCCCTGGGGGACGGCACGGTGCGGAAGGGGAGAGAGAAGCTTCAAGATGGTGGTTGTGGGGTGACAACCCACATGTGAGGTTGGGGGTGACAATTGGTCAGAAAACAGAACAGCCAGACCAAGACGACAAGCTGTGTGTCTCTTTCACTACATCTCTCTTTTAATATTCCCACTTATGATCTTTTATATACAATTATTTAATTATCTTGTAGTATTTAATTATCTTTTAATATTTCTGCTATTTATTGCTATTCATTTTGCCCTCACTAGTGTTCATAAAGTCATTTGGGGAAAGGTTGAATTATTAGAGAGGTGTTGTTTTCCTGGTCCTACCCAGGAAAGGGCAAAAGCTGTCTGACTCTCTGTGTTTGAGAGCATGTATCTCCCTAGTGAAGCTGGTCCCAAATGGAAGCCCGAGTTTCAGTCCCTTTGTCACCTGGGTGTGGCCCACTGTGCCTCCTCACCCTAGGGTGGCCTTCCCTTTCCAAAGCCTCCACGAGCACCTCCAGCGTTGACCCACATGTCCCTCCTTGGGGGCCGTGGCCAGCAGCCCCTCCTGGGCCAGCTGGATGCAGCCCCTCCTGCTCTGTTTCAGGGCCGCCGGGGTCCGGCTGATGGGGGAGATGCAGCGGGAGGACCTGCATGCGGCCTTGAGGAACTGCTTCGCTCTGGTGAACAGCTCTGTCTCTGAGGGCATGTCGGCCGCCATTCTGGAGGTAACCGTGTGAGGGGGCTCAGCGTGGGCTGAGACAGTCTCTCCGTCCCCCACTTGTGACGGTGATGTCTTTGTCAGTAACACTCCCCAAGCTGAAAGAGCAAAGCAGCATGACCTGCGGAGTTTAAAGCCCCCATGCAGTTCAATCTGGGCCTCCAAAATGTCACCCCATTGCCCACGGCCACCGCCCTCACCAAGTGCAGAGACAAATAGGTTCGGCCTTTGTTGTCCCCCGACCCTCTGGGTCGCTTCCCAGGAAGACCACGGAGCTGTTCGCAAGCAGCTTGTTTCATGCCACCTCTCCTCTGGTTGCGCTGTCCTGAGCAGAAGAGTTGCACCCTGTCCCTGCAGGGGAGGGGACCGTGGTGCGGTGGACGTGGGTTGGCTCTGTCCTCTGTCTAGTGTTGGGGACACTCCATGGCCACGTGTGCATCTCCAGCACAGCTCTGCTGGCAGCAGCCAGACCTGTCTGTGTTTGCAGGGCTGAGACCACCCAAGTAGGGCTCTGCTCAGGGAGTCCTGGTGGTCTCTGCTGGGCAGTGCGTGCGCTGTGAGAGGGCATCAGTCTGGTGTCTACTTCGTAACCTGACCCCCTAAAGCATCCCTTGTCACTGGAGAGCTTTCTGGGAAAGGGAATGTGATCAGAGTGGCTTAACTGCTTCACTCTGAGTCCCCAAGATGGCTCTGGCACACGCCCACCGCACGGGCTTTCCCTTCTCTGGTGCCGAGTCTGGTTCCCTACATCCAGGGACCGTGCAGGGTGCGCTCCTGTGTGATCCCGCAGCTGGCCACAGTCTTAGTGTCCTGTCTATAGTGCACGTGCTTTGGCCTGCACCAAACTTACTGACAAAAGGTACGATTTTTAAAGTTAGGGTTTCAGACAACATGGTAAAGTAGGACAAGAAAATACTCTCCCTAAATTTAAGAAATGATTAGAGTTAATGTTTTCTTCTAATCTGACATCATTTGGGAAGAAACACTCGGGAGCCAGTAGAAGCTAAACGCCGAGGCCAGAATTCGGCACTGGGAGGCTTTGAGAGCACAGAGTGAGAACCTGCAGTGGCTTCTCTCCCACAAGGTGTCCACGCCCAGGTCTGTGCTTGCCGATCACACCAGCTCCACTGGGCTCTCAGCCACAGCATGGGAACATCACCGTCCACCCTTCCTTTTAGCTCTGAATATGTACATTCTTAGAATGCACCCTTACGGCTGCTGAGTCGCTCCTTTGTATGGAAATACACACTTTTTTCAACTTCTTAAGAAAAGGTAAAGCGGAGCCGGGGAATGATTTTATAACTAGCACACACAGCACTTCATCGCAGATGAATTGCTGTCAAACCTCATTTACTTCAAAGGAAAGGCAGCTGTTGGCAATTCTGCCTGCCTTAAAATGTTGATGTTGTGTTCCTTTTGAAAAGTCCAAAATAACCTTTGGACGAAGGGTTCTGAATGGAACTGATTGTGGAGGCTGAATAGGGGTGCGCTTCATTAGGGGCAATTCAAGTAGCCCAGCGGCTCATCACCGAGTGGGCATGTTACATCTGAAGGAAGTGATCTTTGACCTGTCAGAATCTGCTCGCTTCCCCATGGAAGCATGTGAGAGTGCCACTTGCTAAAGCACATTCTCCCCAACAGTGGGCTGGGTGCATGGCAGTAGGGTGAATAGTCCTGAAACCATAGCTACTTCCAAGTTTGAGCTGCGTCCAGTCCTGAGTTCTGCGTAGAATTGCGTTAAAAGAACACCAAGAACCATTTTCTATCCTTGTCTTCCTAATTCACACACCGCTCCTTCTCTGTGTCTGCCCCCTTCTCTCTCTCTCTCTCTCTCTACTGTCCAGCACAGTTTGCCACCTGGGAGGAGGGAGGGAGGCTCAGTTCCACAGCCAGAGGCAGCAAGAGCTCAACCCCTGACCTTGAGCCTGTAGGCCCTAGTGAGGGAAGACCCCTCAGCAACGTCTCCAAGACAACCGTGGCTGTGGCAGTTTGACTGACAGGTCTCAAAGTGCGCATGTTCGTGTGTACATGTGTGGCAGGATTATGCCCTGCCCACTTTGGAAAGTGACAGGTCTCCTGAGTGGTCACAGCTAGGAGTACGTAACTGGGGTGCAGGGCGCTGTGGGAAGAGGAGTATTTTTCAAGGCACTGGACTGGATAGTTCTTGCATCAAAGCATTACACCCCAAATGCCCCTGCATCCCCAGGAGAGGCTCTGGCAGCCCAGTGATGTAAGATCCGACATACTGAGCATGTGTCAGTGGTGTGCTCAGACCAAGCCATGATCATTGGCTCAGTGCAGCGTGTCGAGGGACCGGAGCTGCCCACAAGCTCAGCAAGCCATCCATCCACACGGGTGCCACATCTGCCCCTCTGCACTTGAGCTTCCTTTGTTCCCAGGCAGCCCCGGCTACTGGGTTTCCTAGGATTGGCCCTGAAGTATAGGTAGTCTCTCTGCAAGTGGCAGCCATACTGCTGAAAGAGGTGATGGCGGCAGAGGGTTTCAGAAGGGCTGATGTGAAGCCTCCATCCACCTGTGAGGTGGTAGAGCTCTGGGGAAACTAGACCCAGGTGGGTTCAGAGGCAAAGAGGTGTTGGGCGTGTCTGACACAACTCACGTGTTTGTCCAGTCGAGTCCATGACATCAGGACTGAGCCGTTTACTGTCCCTAACTCCTAGCTGGCTCTGTGACATTGGAATAGTGATTTGTCAAATGTGATTATGACAGTGTGCCATTTCCCAGGGCTTCTGAACACAGCAGGCAGCTAAAGTTTAGATGTAGTTTGAAAGTGCAGGCTGCAGTGGGGTGTTGTTTTGGCAGGCAGGTCCGCACTGTGCCCATGGCCAGTGGCTTGGCTAACCTAAGAAGTTACTCTCCCTCAACCGCCCAACTCTCAAGATGTGCCCTGTGTCTCCTCCTGTCTCCCCAGGCGATGGATCTGGAGGTCCCTGTGTTGGCCAGGAACATCCCTGGAAATGCCGCCCTGGTGAAGCATGGAGTCACTGGGCTGCTGTTCGCTGATCCCCAGGTAAAGCCATTGCCTTGCGTCAATCAGCTCTGCACAATTTCCATGCACGTTTGTGGAGAGTGGCTCTTGATTCCGTGTCTGCGGGAGCTCGGTGTCCCTGGCATGGTCAGGAGGGGCCCTGTGTGCAACGTGGCTTCTCCTGTTTCCACCAGAGCAGCTGCAGGGACGTGACTGGAGGGAATAAGGGAGGCTCAAGCAGTGGGCCCACTGGGTTCCATTTCTGGCTCAGCCACCAAGCGGCTAGACTGGGCTTGTGCTGGCCAGCTCACTCTCAGCGCTCCTGGTTTCTGTGGTACTGAGCTGGGCACTCTTCAGGCACCTTGTACTGGTGGAGCCCCATGGCTTTCAGAAGGTGGCTGGGTGCCCTCACTTATAGTCCCTTGAAACAAAGGTAAATGCAGGCAGGATGTTTACATGCTTGCTCAAAAACACGTATGCAGGGTGCTTACACATGTGATCACACACACGTATGCACCGGAAAACAAAGCCAAGCCGTGCAGTCGACGGAGGGCACAGTGGGATGTCCTGTGACTGCTGGGGTGCAGGCATGTCCCATCACCCGGGAGGTGTGTGAGGGCATTGCCAGGGTCAAGTGCTGCTGCTGGGTCTGCAGGTAAGCTCTGGGGTGTCGCCTGCCCGCAGACCCTGGGTTCATGTGCAGGCCTTGGACTCTGGCCTTGGAGACTCAAGTCTCCAAGAACCACTTTCTCTTTGGGAGCAGTGAAGCGGAGGACAACGCCTGCCTCTTAGAGTTGTGGCAGGGCCCAGGGAGGTGACACACAGGGCCTGGCGCAGGGTCAGAGCCTGGCAGGCTTGGCCATGGGGGGGGAGGGAGGGCTTTGCCGTCTGGGGGGAAATGGATGCAAGCTTCGTTCTTTATGTCTGAGCTTTTTAAAAACCAGGTGCTGCTCCTGACTGTCAAAGCATGTGCTAGTTTCAGAAAAACAGGAAGTTGTTCTAGAAGTGACAATAACTTAAGGAAATTCGTTTTTCCAAGTGTCCTGTCACAGGGTCTGGTCACAGATAGCTGTCCCTTTCCTTAATACCAGCTCTTGTCCCCAGGTCCCACTTCTTGCCTCCAGCCTGTAGGGTCACAGGCTCCAGCACAAACCGACAGCCAATGAATTTCAGGGCTAAAGGGCTGCAGGGCCAGGAGCCCTCTGGTGCCTAGCAGAGGGGACACTTTGGCTGTGTTCGAGGCGGGGGACACAGCAGGTGGGGGGTCCTGGCCTGCCTGACAGGCACGAGTGTGCTGGGCTCCTCCCTTTCAGTGGTAACAACTAGGGGCCGGTCAGGGATGGAGTGTGGCCTGTGCTCGCCTGTTCACGCCACAGACACAGGCTTGCTGCTTTTGACCGCAGCCCAGTTCTCCCGAAACCAGCTGAGGCCCAGCACTGCACGCTGGCAAAGTGACCACCCCCATCTTTCAAAATAACAGTGCCCAGTTCCTCTATAGTGCCACTTTAAAAGCTCTTAAGTGGAAGCCGGGTAGAGGAGAGGCAGGAGGCAGTGGCCCTGGAGAGGGTGGGCCTTGTGAGGGCTGCTGGTGACCTTGTGAGTGCTTTGTATATATAGTTATAAATATATATAATTTGTATAATATAAATAGTAACATACAGCCATACATGCTCTTTAGACTCTTGCTAAATCTAGAGTTACAGGTTCCGCTTTAGCTTTTATGCCTTCATCAAGAATATAAAGGAGACTCACCTCTAAGTGCCTGTCTAGAAGTCAGAGCAGGAGTTGGGAGGGACTGGGAGGGCCAGGGCCTGTGAGAGCTCATGGAGAGGAGCCCTGGGCAGCCTCTAGGAGCCAGGAGCAGCTCCCAGTCGACAGCCAGCAAGAGCAAGCTTGTCCGTCCCACAGCCAGGAGCTGCACCCTGCCGACAGCCTGTGGGCTCGAGGGCCCACTCCTCCAGGGATGGAGCCAACTCCTTGGTTTCAGTCCCATGAGGCCAAGAGCGGAGGGTCGCTCGCTCAGCCACGGCTGCACCTTGACCTTCAGAAACCTCGAGGCCACAAGTGTATGTCATGTGAAGCCCTCCTTGGCATCATCTTGTCCCGCTGTGCTGGAGAAGGGGCCCAGGAGGCAGGCCTGGGAACAGCGTGTGTCACACCAGGGCAGGAGGCTACAAGCAAGGAAGAATGTGGTCCTGCCTACAGGGCTGGACACCAAGAAAGGATGGTGACTGTGTGGGACCCCAGAAAGAGCTTCAGGGAAGAACAAGGGCCTCCCTAGAGGTGAGGGAGATCACTGGGGGCACTAAGAGGCCCTGTTGGAGACAAGCCACACATTTCCTTTCCCCTGAAGCCCATCTGGACCCTCGCTTGCTCTAGGAACTGCCGGAGATCTGTGTGGGGAGGGGAGTTGACTATCTAAAGCTGAGAGGTGCAGATGGAGGATATCCTTTCCCGGGGTGCCCTTAGGTGTCTTGCTGCCCTTGGAGAACATCCACACATTTGGTGGTGGTCAGCAAGCTACCCTGGGCAGCCCTGCCTGCCACTCTGCCCTCCAGGGCCTCCCCTGCTCTCCCTTCTGCAGCCCCCAGGGCTCCTTCTGCACCTGCACGGTGGGGGAAGGTGCCCCTTCAGGGTGTTCTGGGTCTGCCTCTCCAGGCCGGCACCAGCGCAGGACCTGGCACACAGTGTGTTAACAGTGACCTGTTCCAGCCAGAACCCAAGAGCCCCCCTGGGTGGCCGCTATTGGCATGAAGATAAAGGGAATCAGGAAGGAGGGAAGTGGGCTTTGGGCGCTCCAGAGAAACTAAAAAAAATTTAAAACAATTGATGGTTAGACAAAATCAAGTGTGGCAAGAATAGAATGGTCTCTATTTTACACCCCTCACCCCTGGAAAACTTCAGTATGAGCTAAGCCATCCAAACCTATTCAACATCGATTTTCCATTACTGCAACAATCCTGTGATTTTGCCTTTTAAAAGAAAAGAGTTGCGCTATTTCCCTGTGTTTTTTTTTTTAAATAGCTTCAAAATTAAAATCCATTTGACATTTAATAGAGACTGTGAATCCATATTCTCTGGGCCAGAACCTAGATGGGTAGCTCAAGCTTATTTTACAGGGATATTCTGTTTGTGTTTTAGACAAGAGTAGAAAAACTGGGGATAGTCATGAAGCAGAGACTGACGTTCATGGAGTACGTGCCTGCCGTGTCCCAGCCACTGTCCTTACTGCTCTCTGTGATGTGAGATTTTAGTAGAGATAATTTCTTTTTCCTTTAAACAGTAATGGCGTTGACAGTCAGTGGCTCAGTGTTTGGAAAACGTGAGGCATGTTGGACAGATAGCCTCAAACTCTCCACCAGGCTGAGCCGGCCTCAGGTCTGGAGTTTCCTGCTTGAGATCTGAATGATCCCTGAAGCCCTTTTTATCCTGTGCTTGTCTCCTCGTCTGGAAGATGGAGACTATGACCCGTCTTGCAGGGATAACAGGAAACACATACTGTGGAGGCTCATCCTTTCCTTGAGGGGAACCACAGGGGCCAGAGGCCATCTTCTGCAGCACAGTTGAGCCTGGTGCTGAGCAGCAGGGGACATGGCCAGCCTGTGCTCAGGGCAGTCAGAACATCTAGGCTGTGTTCTATGAGAGGCAGGCGCCAGCCCGAGAATGTCCCATGTCACGTTCATATTACAGTGTCCCTGGGGGACTGGGTGGAGGTCAGCCAACATTACATAACATAGGACTTCCTTCTTGCGTCTGTTAATTCTTAAGCTAACATGTAATTCTCAGAAGTTAAATGCTGCGCTGATAAGGAGGCACCCTTCCAGTGCCTGGACCTGATGGGACCTCATCAGGGTAAAACCTGGATGTGGTAGCCTCCCAGATGTGGACGGCATCTCCACTGAAACCCAAAAGGAAGCTACGGACAACGTGGCCCACGCTGGAAGTTAATCCAAAATGCATTTGCATGGATTTGCAAATCCAGTGGCCATATTGCTTCTTGGGTAAACCCAGCAAGCTTGAGAGTGGAAAGGACAGCTGGACTAGACCCTCAGGTGGGGAGCCTGCCTGGAGTGTGCAATCAGGTGCTGGGCCAGTGGAGTGAGTGGTCCCGACCAGTGGACAAGAGGGCAGCCAAGGACACCAGTCACGTTTTTATAGTAGCCATATTTAAGAAAAAATAAAGAAATAGAAGAATTCTATTTTCGTAATACACTTGATTTAACTCAGCCTATTTGAACTTGCATCATCTCAGCTAGAAGTGACATCAACACTATTAGTACCCGCGTTCTTTGTTCCTACTAAGCCTCTGCAGTGCTGTGCATGCTTGGCACTCCAGCACAGCTCAATTTGGAGATTAGGTTCTTATTGAAAACTTGGTCTGCATCTAGCTCGGGAGGATCTATACCTAAAAAATAGATTTGCCTCTCCAGGTTGTTCAAAATGCATAAAATTTTTGAGTAATTGAATAAGTACAGGTTTAAAATTTTAAATCTGTTAAAAATAATGAGGAAGAGTGCCCTTCCTCCGGCACACAGGCCACCTCCCAGGTGTTCAGAGGCCCTGGCCAGTGATGAGCCGCAGCTGCAGTGTCGCACAGAGGGGCTTCAGGACTGGCTGGGCAGGGGCCGCAGCTGGCCTTCCTGTGTACTGGCCCCTTGCCAGCATGCTGCCTTGTCTTCACAACAGCCAGAGAGGGCAAGTCCCGAGCCCTGGGCCACTGTCTTAGAGCCGCCCGCCCAGCCCAACCCCCAGGAGTCTGATTCCAGAGCCGCACTCGGCCACCTGGAGCAGCCACCGTCCCTACCCTGCCTGCCCTCTGCGGCTCGGCCTCAGTCTCTCCCTTTCCTTCTGCCTCTTCCTGAGTCCATTCCTCAGTCTCTTCCTCGGTTTCTCTGTATCGCCCTGCCTCCTCCTAACCCCCATCACGCGCTTCTCTCTCTGTCTCTCTCTCCCCTGTTCTCTGCCTCCCTCCTCCTCCCCTCTCCTTTGGGTAGGAGGGGTGGCACTTTTCCACCCAAGAGTCCTCAAAGCGGATCCTCTCA